ACCCGTGGTGGGCAGAGCACAGATAGCCCTTGTGTAGCTTTGTGCATAATTAAAAACAGACAAAAAAAAACAGACTGCTATGATAAGTAACACAAAAATCCTAACTTTCACAGAATTTATTTATAACATAACATATTATTACAGTATTCATTATTACCTCACCAAAAGATTTATATAAGCTTTAAGAACTCAATATGTATATAATTAAAACATGGTATACACTGTTTGATGGTCAGGGTGACTTTTTACGAAGAGGTAGTGGCGGTAGGGGTGCTTCCTGTTGCCCGCTTTCGACACCCACCTCTTAATGTCATTCCACACTGTTTCACGTTATTAATTAATAAAATGGCCATTAGCCGCAGAAGTGTCTTAATGGGAGAAATTACGGGTCAAAGTAGGGAGTGGGTACAACTCAAGAAATGTATCTTCATATCAGCGTTATGGTGGTTTTTGTCGTATCAACTTCATCTGAATTTATGCATTATTGTATTAGTGGCGGAAATTTGTTTTCATTGTATTCCTCCATAGAGAGTGGGCCCGGCATGGCCAGGTGGTTCCGGCGCTCGACTCGCAATCTGAGGGTCGCGGGTTCGAATCCCCGTCACACCAAACATGCTCGCCCTTTCAGCCGTGGGGGCGTTATAATGTGACGGTCAATCCCACTATTCGTTGGTAAAAGAGTAGCCCAAGAGTTGGCGGTGGGTGGTGGTGACTAGCTGCCTTCCCTCTAGTCTTACACTGCTAAATTAGGGACGGCTAGCGCAGATAGCCCCTCGTGTAGCTTTACGCGAAACAAACAAACCATAGCGAGTGCTGGGCACTCTCTGAGATATAGAAGACGCTTGTGTGCTCTCCCTCCTTTCTGTGTGTATGCTGTATTATAGAAAATTTAATATTTGTGTGTTTTCTTATAGCAAAGCCACATCAAGCTATCTGCTGTGTCCACCGAGGGGAATCGAGGGGACAGAAACTTAATAAATTATTTTTTGTTTTGTGTAAGAACGTGGCGCTATATATGAATGTAGTTAACTTTTAACTTACGTCATATATAATAAATACCCAATAACATCAATAATGGGGGTGGAGAGGTTGTGAACCCTATTAACATGCCCCTTGTTCCAAACTATCATCCCACAAAGTTTGGTTGAGCTTGGCCCATTGACCTAGGAGTAGTTAGATAAGGGACAAACAGACACACAGATTTTTGTGCTTTATATATATACAGATAGATTAAAACAATATCCAGAGTGTATAGAGTGCTGTTTTACAACCTTTTAAATGTATATAACTCACTTATCAACTAACTATTTTATAATTTGTGACATTAAATATAAAAAATGCATAAAATTATTGTAAACTTAACCTCATTTATTAGCCTATTTGTATGGCCTGGTTGTTAGGGTG